ATATATATATATATATATATACTTTTTTATTTTGTCAGTGCTGTCATTCATAGAGGCATCTTGAGGCATTTTTTTACGGCCCAGTGAAGTTGCTCAAGTAGTGCAGCTAAGCCAAGATGGAACATCAATGGGAGCGATGGCAAGAAGATTTGCTGTGTCTCTCAGCACAGTGTCCAGAGCATGGAATAGGTACCAGGAGACAGGCCAGTACACCAGGAGACATGGAGGGGGCTACAACCCAGCAGCAGGACCACTACATCGTCCTTTGTGCAAGGAGGAACAGGAGGTCCACTGCCAGGGCCCTACAAAATGACCCCCAGCAGGCCACTAATGTGCACGTTTCTACGCAAACTGTCAGAACTTGACTCCAAGAGGATGGTATGAGGGCCCGACATCCACATATAGGACCTGTGCTTACAGCCCAACACCATGCAGGACGATTGGCGTTTGTTAGGTAACACCAAAATTGACAGATTCGCCATTGGCGCCCTGTGTTCTTCATGGATGAAAGCAGGTTCACACTGAGCACATGTGACAGATGTGTTAGAGTCTGGAGACACCGTGGAGAGCGTTATGCCTGCAACATCCTGCAGCATGACCGGTTTGGTGGTGGGTCAGTCATGGTGTGGGGAGGCATTTCTTTGGATGGCTGCGTAGCCCTCCATGTGCTAGTCAGAGGTGCCCTGACTGCCATAAAGTACCGGGATGAGATCCTCTGACCCATTGTGAGACCATATGCTAGTGCAGTGGGCCCTGGGTTCCTTCTTATGCATGACAATTCTAGGCATCATGTGGCTGAAGTGTGTCAGCAGTTCCTGCATGATGAGGGTATTGATGTTATGGACTGGCCTGTCCATTGCCCAGACCTGAATCCAATTAGTTTTTCTTATGTTATAAACAGAAATGCAGCCTCTCGAGCCAACAAACAACAGTGCAGTCACACTTTACACAGATCAGTCTCAGCATTTACCTTATAAAAAGACTTATGAAACATCATCATTTAAATCTTAAAGACCCTCAGAATGCATGATTACCACAGTCAGCACAGGTCATTTAAAGGCAAAATGACTGATTATAATTACACAAATAAATAGGCTTAGATTTAACCTGTGAGACTGACAGTTTTGGATTCAGGTGTGCTACTTTTTGGGTTTCACCACCTCAGACATTGTGTTCATATTTTCAGGTAATGATTTTTTCTGTGTTGTTTTCATGTGAATCATCTTGTTGTTCTCTCTGTGCACACGGACGTAGAGGAGAGGACATGAGTGATTAGAATCCATAAAAACACTTATAAGACCATAAGTAATGACTCCTGTCTAATGTAAGCTGTTTAAGCACTGCAGTGCACACTACCCTTCATGTAATGGAAACATGGCCGTATAATACACTCCTTTAGCTACCGGTAATACTGCTGATAAACACTTTAGCTGGTTTATTCAATTTAAAGTTTGATACATTCACATGGGTTCGAACTAAGTTGCATTTGTGTTTTTAGCTGACGTTAATGCACAACTTTTTATTTTCTTTTAAGCCATTTAAAATTCCAA